GGTCACAAGCTAGCAGAGGGTAGATTTAGGTTAGACATCAGAAGGCGCTATTTCACGGTCAGGGCGGCTAGGGTCTGGAACCAACTTCCAAGGGAGGTGGTGCAGGCTCCTACCCTGGGGGTTTTTAAGAAGAGGTTAGATGAACACCTTGCTGGGGTCGTTTGACCCCAGTACTCTTCCCTGCCATGGCAGGGGGTCGGACTAGATGATCTTCTCGGGTCCCTTCCGACCCTAGAAACTATGAAACTATGTTGTCCTTTGGTTTAGAGCTACAGCAGCTCCCAGTGGAAGGGTCACTCCACACCAGTTTTACAGGAAAGCAGAGCAGGCAGGGTTTTCCAGATGTCATGTCTAGTCAATCCTGCCTTGAACAGGCAGCTGAAGTCCTGACTAAACAAGCCCCAGTCAAAGGTCTCTCCAACCTGCTCTTGCACATATCCAAGGAGGGAGATTCTACCTCTCTCCAAGCAGCCTGTTCTGATGCTTGCAACCAGAAAGTTCTTAATCTCCATCCTCAATTTCCTCTGCTGCAGCTTGAGGCTGTTGCTCATAGTCCTGATTCCTGTGTCCACAAAGAACAGCCCATCTCCAGCCTCTGTAACTGCTCTTCAGGCATTTGAAGACTGTTATCAACCCCCCTCCCAGTCTTCTCTTCTCCAGACTAAATAATCCTTGTTCTTTCAGCCTTTCCTTATCAGTTACATTTTCCAGGCTTCTAATCCCTTTGGTTGCTCTGCATCAGATTCTTTCCATCTGCCCACAGCTTTTTTGAAGTGTGGAGCCTAAAACCGGGCACTGGGCTCCAGGTGACACCTCAGTGGTATGCAGACAAGAAAAAAAAAATCTAGAAACAGGCATGAGTTGTTGCCTTGTTAGCCCCACCCCACCCCACCCCAGATGCTTGACCACAATGTATTGCCCTGAGCCAGTGAAGGTAGTGGGTGAAAGTTTATTTAAGTAACCTCCCTTGCTGTTCCCAGAGCAATGCTAGCATTCAGAAACCTCTCAGCACTGTAGTACAGCAGCAACGCTGTGTGCCGAGATGAGCACAAGTCTTGAGGTCGTATCCTAACACCCAACTCAAATCAGAGCCATTTCTGATTAAAACAGTAGTAGTCTGGATCAGTGTGTGCATGTGGGGGTGTCACTAGGACCTTCAACATACACGCCTAGGCACAAGTATGAGGAGTGGAGGCTACCCAGACCATCCACCCCACCTTTAGGCCATTGAGACAGAATCCAAAGGCCAGACCAAGTCCAGACATGGCTAAAATATTTAGTTGCCCAAAACAAGGCATTGTGTGTGCAACTGCCAGTGCTCTAGGGTGGCTTACTTTTGCTAAGCCCTTAGCAAGAAAAAGCAGAAGACAAAATGCGCCCTCAGACTTGTGACACAGACTGAAAATAACAGCATCTAGAACAAACACAGAGAACTTGAAGATTCAGCAACATTAGCGTGACACACACAAACCATGAAACATTTCAGATCAAAAGCTGACAAGCTTCCTGGTAGGCTGGCCAGGCCCTTATCAATGCCCAAGGGAGCTGGGGAAAGCAGTGTCAATGCCCAACTGTAAACATGCTAAGAGCATCATTTCTGCAAGAAGCTGTGTAACGCCAGCTCTCGCAGACTTCAGTGTAGGTGGGGACACTTGGCACCCTGCAGGAAAGAACCCTACAGGACCAGCAATAGCAGACTGAGGGAGATTAAGCAGTACTCTACAATAATCCTACTGCACACTCCCATCTCCAAGAAATCTGCATTTCCCCATAAAGCTTTTGCAAAAAAATTCTTTGACAATCCCTTGTAGTTGAGAATGATTGCCTTCCATGGCTGTCTTGTCTTATCCTTGCTGGGGCCTCCACTTTTGCAAAAAAAGCCCCTTACAGAATACACAAACAGGCAGCCCATAGAAGACATACTATGTACTGATAACGTCCCCCTGGGAAGCCACAGGCTAGCATGCCTGCCAAATGTGCCACACACTTGCATTCCTGTAAGGTCTGGAGGAATCCTAGCTGGAAGCTGAGATAAGCACTGCCAAAGAGTGACACTGAATGATCTCATTACCTTTAATGTGTTGAACAGCTCCAGATCAAGTGAGCAAAAATTTCTACAACTCCCAGTGCAAAATGCAGACTTACTTTACATTCGAGGGGGAAAAAACCCACCCAAAATCTGAGCATTAAGTCAGAAGAGAGATACTTTTTAGGGTTTGCAAGTATGGGGAGACTCCCTATCTATAAGCAGTTTGACTGTAG